CTGGGAGCCCCGCTGAGGCTCGGTGAGAGGGCGACCCGGCGCGTGCTGGGAGCCCCGCTGAGGCTCGGTGAGAGGGCGGCCCAGTGCGCAGAGCGTGCACTCCAGCACGGGCACCACGGCAAGCAGCTGCAACCACATAGGGGTCTAAGTGAGGGCGCAGTGGCAGAGCGGTAGAAGGGAGGCTCTTCATCCCAAAACAGTCGCCTGAAAGTGAAATGATCCACAGATTAGTACCTGATCCGTAGATACACTGATGCATGCGTGCCGATGGAGGTGACCGAAGTACGCCTATCTCAGCAGAGAACAAGACGAATTAAATGCGAACAGAGTCGCACTCATCTTTCGCCATCTGCAAGTGTTTTAGCCGCTTGCGAGTGATTGTACGCTGCGAAACTCCGTTTCGATCAGGAATGTGGAAGATGTTCTCATAATAATCGACATGATCTCTTCTTATTTCATTTCAGTTTAAATGATGATACATATTCTGCTCAGGCTCAGACTTTTAATTTACAGTCATTGCGCCAGTTTAAAGCTCTAGTGTTTAAGCTGTTAGCCAAGTTACCATAATGTGTAGTTGTCTTACTGATTTTAAAATGGCCATTGCGGATAATCGAGCCTTTGCTTGGATGATACGCTCATTCCCCGGTCTGAAGCAGTCCATCCGAGTTCCCACCCTCGCATCATGATGCCCAGCCCTGTGCCTTAAATAACCAACCACCCACCTCAGACGCCCATCCCTTGAGAGGCTCTCGTCACTTACGTTAGAGAGGTTCCCCTTTTGCAGGCCACTGCGGACCTGACATTTTAAAGGTTAAAGGCGGAGATGCACCCCTGCGTCTGAGTATGGGCCGCCTGATACCCACGTTTGGAGTTCTTCTCTACATGGGAGGAGTGAATCCGTCTTCTTTGCATACCCGCTTAATCTCCTACTCTTCCCAAGTTTCTGATCTACTCTGATGTACTCTTCTGTTCAGTTATCGGTGAATTTATCTTTATATGGATTATTAGAGCCAGCGAAATTATCTAATGCAATCGTTAAATGCTAGGACATCATGCAACTAGCCTTTGAGCACCCCGTTTGAGCAGGCTTGGGCGCTCCTCTAAGTTAACTCAGGATATCCTTTACCGGCTGTTTGCCTGTAATGTTTGTGGGCTGCCATCTACCCAGACAAAGAGGTTGCTGCTCCCCGAGTTTAGCAGGTGACTTGTTCCGCTGCTGTCGACTCTTACCCCATATCTGCCTTAGTGTCATCTTCCACGTTGAAGCGCCCAATACTTGGACCTTCTACTTTGTCATGGGGGCTTCCATCTATATCCATACGAAGAGCCTCCAGCCTGGTTTGATCTGGCTGCCTGCGCGGTCTTTCACGCGCCTGTCTACCACCTGGCTGCGGACTTCTAGCACCCCTCTTAGTTTGTAGGGGATCGCCAGAAGCTGCGCCTTTTCGTGAGTCTAACGGTGCCCCAATACCTGAATTTAAAGGCTCCTCTAGCAGGGCTTGTGGAGCAACTGCACTTGGGCTCGGAGAAAAGGCTACCTGAAGCTCTCAAGGCACTCCCGTATGTCGGCCTCTGGCACCCCTCTGCCAGAAAACTGGGCAGCCTTCTACCAGAGCTATAAACTATACTCTTCATGAAGCTTCGAGCGCCCTTTATTTAGGCTTGGAATGTCTCCGTCTGGGCATGGAACACTGCTTTGTGTAGGGAGGGGGGGGGGGGGGGGCTGAGCGTGGTCTTGGACGCTTACTGTCTGTCCTTAAGACGTCTCTTTTCCTGAGCTTGTGCTTGAGCTTTTCCATCCATCCGGTTTGGGAACACTGCCCTGTGACGGTTTTGTGACGTTCCTCTTGGCGTCCTGTAGCAGAGGCGCCTTAACCGGTCAGAAGGGCGCCAAACTTTGAAGGCACTGGGAGGAATCTGGGTGCGTGTGTGCCATTGAAAAGGGCAGCCGAAACGACACGTCACACAATCGTTTAAGCACATTTTTGAAATGTTCAACATGCCTAACAGCGCTCATGTTACAAATTATTCATTGCGTCCCGTATGTCTACGCGTGTAAATTATTAAACATATCATTTTTTAAGGTTTTGCATGCTGATATATTGAAGGTCTGTTGAGTGAGAACTCACTCTTTAATCTAAGGGAATTTTGTGACCTTCACAGGTTTACCTCTGGACTACCTTGTGCTTAAAGCCTTTATTTGCAATGGCAATACGTCCATGCCGTCAAACATCTAAACAATACTTTGATCGGACTTACCAGATTTCATCTGGCATGGTCCTGACCTAGAATAACACTAACACTGCTATCGTCATTGACATATCGCAGTCTCTTAGCGCGTGCCAGCGATTTTGGATGCTGATTGGCGCCAATATCAATATTTTATGAGATATCACCTTGAATGACCTCGGCGAAGGTCATCAATTGTGGGGATGCTCACCATACAAGCACGTCACTCCTTCAGAATCACTGGTTTGATGAAAAATAGTAAACACGGAACTCTAGAACGTCGCAGGGAGCCTATTTTTGCATTTCGGCGCCGTGCAGAGCTGAGATCAAACAAGATCAATGGTCTGTGACCGGAATGGTAGAAATTGAAATCATATTTCAGGTTAGACGGTTTGAAGCTGGGGTAGCCAAAATGTAAAATGAACCTCAAGGGCTTGTATATATATATATATATATATATATATATATATATATATATATATATGTCTCTATATATATATATGTATATGTATATAAATAAGTAAATATATATATATATATATATATATATATATATATATATATATATATATATATATATATAGATGTATATCGAAAGGCCGCGCGGGGCGGCCGCATGGACTGTGTTAGCAAATGATACGCCTTGCGTGAGGTACTGCACGTCTGTCATTGTCATCCGTAGCCAGATCTGAACGCCTCTGTGGTCCAATTCGTATCGGCTGCATGCATTCTGAAGAAATGTCTGGATTCTAATTTGTGCAGCGGGTGCCCAGCAGACTAAGTCCGAATGTTGTGCTCCCATTTGGCTCTGGTGAACATTCAGCCATTCAGGTTTGGTCGCTTTAGCCTTACGTCATTCATTCATAAATGATTGTCTCACGCCGCGATATCCGTTATCTGGTGGGTGACAGGTTTTGCCACACGCCACAACATGTGCAGGTGTACCAGAAGTCTCCGTCTCTAACAAGCGTGTTTTGCCCTACATCCATTATGGCTATTTCGAGAGACCAATACAATAGTTGACCTCAATTCAATATATTAGAATTGACACTTCCTACACTTCCTATGTCGTGATAAAGCTGCGAGATCGCACTTGATTTAAACGCGCCAAGGCGCTTTAAATCTGTTTTCGTTATATTTCAGCACCGTCAGTAACTGACACCTAATTAAAGAAAGTGCGGGGTGGCCTAATTAATGACCCATCATTATGACCTATCATTGATTCAATCGCCCTGGTAGCATCTGCCTCCACCTCAGGAAGCGACGCCTCGCTGAGGACGTGTCCCGAACCCGACCGCCTGTCTTAGGCCTTCCAGGTCAGGCTGACCGGGCAAGCGGCCGCACCAAGGGCTCATCAGCCATTCCACCCGACACGGGTCTATTCGGGCGGATTGATTGGGTTTGGGAATCGATGGCGGTGTGGCGCCGGCCGGCCGCCGAGGCGGGGTCGGTCTCGGCCGCTCGGCCAGTTACGTCCTCGTCACGGTCACGGCACTGGCGAGCTGGGAGACGCTGATGTCAGGATGGCGGCCCGCCGGCGGAGCGACGGGGACCCCCGAGCTCCCGAGCTCGGAGCCGGCGGAGCGGCGGGGACCCCCGAGCTCCCGAGCTCCGAGCCGGCGGAGCGGCGGGGACCCCCGAGCTCCCGAGCTCCGAGCCGACGGAGCGGCGCGGACCCCCGAGCTCCCGAGCTCCGAGCCGGCGGAGCGGCGGGACTCCCGAGCTCCCGTGCTGGGAGCCGGTGGAGCGGCGCGGACCCCCGAGCTCCCGAGCTCGGAGCCAGCGGAGTGGCGGAGACCCCCCGCCTCTTGACGCGCCGTACTATTGCAGCCATTGTGGACCGAGGGGTGTTGGCCTTTGAGTCCTCCCTGGACGACGAAGGCGTCCCATAATGACTGCTTTGTGACTTTAATTTGTGTTGGATGATATGAAATGGAGTAGAGGTCGACACTGGAGTGGATTTATTGCGCAATAATTGGCCATATTTTCCATAAAATGGAGCTTGGAATAAGAATGGCTGAAATGATAGTGTGTTTGATGAATACGCGACCAATGATTTACATGAACATGTCAAGGATTATTCATTTACATCTTTCCAAGAAACATGAATCAAAGCTCTATTCGCACGCTGTTTTTTCGCCCGTTCCGGCTTGCCCGGAACACGCCCCTGTCTCGCGCCCGCCCACATCCACCCCCCGTCCTGCGTTGAGACGCCGGTGTGCGTGGCGGACGCTGGGGACGGGGGTCAGGTCACCAGTCAGACCACCTGGCCGGGTCCGGTCGCGCTGACCCAAATGTGACATCGATCGGGCGGCGGCCAGTCCGGTTGTTGCATCTCTGGCTGCGGTGCGTCCCGTCGGCGCCGCCATCGATTCCGACAGCATCCACTGCGCATGCGCGCCTGCCGCCGCCGAGGCCGGCCCGGAGTCGATCGGCGCCAGCGCCGGCTGTCGCCGCGCCCGCACTGTCGCCGCCCAGTGTCGCTGCGCCCGCACTGTCGCCGGCCGGTGTCGCCGCGATCCCGCCGTCGCAGTACCCTGGCCGCCGCTTGTCAGCGTCGCCGCTCCGCCACTGTCGCCGGCTCGTGCCGTCTCTGGCCGGTGCGGCAGCAGCTCACCGTCACTTCTGAACGGTGTCGCAGCCGCTCGTTATCGCCGCACCGGCTATCTCGGCCGACACCGCAGCAGTGTCGCCGCCGTGGAGGGTCCATCCTCGGCGTGCTCAGCGCGGTGTCCCGAACCGGAGCGGCATCGCCGCCCGCGTAGAAGTGCTACCCTGCCGCGGTGAGGGCGCGAACGGTCCTGGTGGGTGCCTCCGAGGTGGCCTTGGCTGTGAATCTCGCGATTCCTGTGTCGGTGTCCACTGTCTGTGTCAGCCGCGATACCTCGACTGGTGCTGGCATCCCGCGAAGCTGACACACTGGTGAGGTACGAGACGAGCCGCTGGTGATGGTGCTAGTGCCTGAAGCTGGGACTGGGGTCTAGTGTCGAGGACCGTCGTGGCTGAGCGGGGCGGAACCATGGGAGAGAAGTATATGATATATAAGGAACGGCGGCAGCGGAAGCAGCTGGAGTCCGCCCATGAGAGGTCCACGAGGAGGTTCGTCAAAATTCTGCAGGTGAGTCGAGACATTATCCTGTGCAGGCTGTGAAGCCTGAGGTGGGGCATTATCCCGCACAGAATCTCGAAATTCCGGCAGGTGAGACGATGCATGAGACGAAACGTTGTCTCGTGCAGACCTTGCAATGCCGTAGATGCGACGAGGCATGCCGTGCAGGAAGCCAGAATTATCCAGGTCAGATAAGGCGTAATCTCGTGCAGATCATCAATATTCTGCAGGTGAGCCGGATCGTTACTTTACGCAAGCCCCCAGGCTCGTTGCTGGTAAGATGGGGCACAGCGTTCAGGCGCGTGAGGAGAACAACTACGGATCACAATGTTCAGTCTGTTTCTGGAGACGCAGTCTTACTGTGATTGGTCAGATCGTGTTTCTGGGGGGTATTTCCGACGATGCTATCTTGCTGCAAGCAGCCAGGTCGATTGGTCGAATAGCAGTGCGGTTTTGCTGTCGGTATCTGGCAGCACACAGAGAGCGCACTGTGTGTCATCTACGTAGCATCATGAATTGTAGCTTCGTGACTGAAATTGCGTATTTGAAGTTATTTTCGACGCTATGTTGTGTTAACGAGTACTTGGGCCCATTGTCTGAGCTACACGCTTGCTGATGAGCAGTTAAATCCGGTGAAGTGTGAGATATCAGTTTTAACACCTCTCATTTGGTGGTGCCGTTCGCTCATGCCACCGCTCGTGATTAAGTCGTAAAGGGCGGATTAATTACACGTGGAGCGCGGCCGACGAGCCCACTGAACTGATTACCCCGCAGGCAGATCAGGTTTCAATTAGCCACAGCCGCCGCGTGACGACCTGCGGGTCAGGCCGTCACGCTCGTATGATCGGTCGTCTTCGGTCCAAAAGGATGCCGGAGGCGGCAGCGGCTCAGTGTCAGACCCGGCTGGCGCGCTGATAAACGGCGCCGGCTATCTTCTCGGCGTCGGCGACGTCCCCGAGGTCGGGCATTAGGTTCGTCGGCGCCGGCGCGACGCGGGCCCGCGCGCCGAGGGGCGCGGAGCGACGCCACACGGGCCGGTGGCCAGGCCGGATGCGGCCCTGCTTCCGGTGCGGCTCGCCGCCGCCGGACGCGCGCGGCCTTTGATTGGCGCCGCTGCGCCGCCGCTGAAAGGAGCGACCCGGTCGATGGGGTGCTGTGCGCGAGTGGAGTCTGCTCCAGCGAGAGGACGAGCCGGTCTTCGTCATCGTGACAATTATTTTATATTCTTCTCCCGTCAAGCTGGGGAACCAACAGTTAATGGACTGGTGCTTGGGGACAGACTGTTGTGAGACGTTTACCACTACCGGGCATTTGAAACGCTTCCGTGTGCCTAAAAGAGACTTCGACAGCCCAAATGTTTACGCAATAATGAAAATGAAGCCTTATAACGTGACCGGCAAAGAGTGAAATTCAGCGTACGCCGCCAATACAGGTCATTACCGATATGTGCGTTTACGCGGTATTCGTTCACAAAATGGATGAAACTAAAATTTCTTTTTACGATAAAAAAGTTCTTCAAAATTCATGTGTTGTGTACGTTATGCTGCGCGCGCTGCCATCACGTGGGTGCAGCAATGGTTTTTAAAAGGGACATTCCGGTGATGCACTTTAATGTTCGCTTCCATAGCCGTTGCCACTGTTTTGTATGCTCACGGCAGCTTTTTGCGTTCTGAATCTGTCGAGTTTGAGCTAACAATGTTTTGCAGCGGAGCTTCGTTAGCCGTGCCGCTGTTTCCTCCTTTTCTCGTTCGTTTTTCTCTTCCCATCAAATATCTGGTACTACGGCGGCGTGTTTGTTTAATTGATTTCGGATAGAACGATATGAACTGTGTTTGACCATGGTCTGCTGATTACCCACCCATTGCCTGCCACAAGCACACAACAGCTCTGGTCACCTGCACCACCTGTACATCAGGTACAGCACCACCGTACATCGGGTACGGTTCCTGCGGTCCCTTCTCGTCACCGCAGGCCGCAGGGCATGCTTGACGATCGAACGACCGTAGCATGACCGGGCACGTCTCCTCCGCCAGATGTCGGACGACGACCGGATGTCGCTGACGACGGCCGTCAGTGACGAGGAGGAGGAGGGCGAGGCCTCACTGCACGCCTCTCCGTACCGGGTCACCAGGTCGGGCAGCTCCGCAGCCTCCTTCAACTGCACCGGCGCTGTGCGGAAGGCCGGGTGAGTCTGCTCTGTCACCGCCGTCGTCCGCACATCTGGCGACCTGGGCTGGGTCCGGGCACATCTGGCGAGCTGGGCTTGGTCCGGGTACATCTGGCGAGCTGGGCTGGGTCCAAGCACATCTGGCGACCTGGGCTGGGTCCGGGCACATCTGGCGAGCTGGGCTGGGTGGAGGCACATCTGGCGAGCTGGGCTTGGTCCGGGTACATCTGGCGAGCTGGGCTGGGTCCAAGCACATCTTGCGAGCTGGGTTGGGTCCGGGCACATCCGGAAAGCTGGACTGGGTCCGGGCACGTCTGACGAACTGGGCTCGGTACGGGCACATCTGTCGAGCTGGGGTAGGTCCGGGAAGCTGTGACCGGCCTCATTACGTCTTCCAGCTGATATTTTGGCTGGTCTCCCGCTTTGCGCAATCACCGATTGTCTGTCCGCTCAATGCACCAATAACGTTCCGTTTACATAGGGCTGAGTGACAGTTATGCGTTGTTTGTAAAGCTGGCACGCCACCAGACATCGGTTAGCTGCCCGACATCTTGCTAGGCCACCCAGCGGGACGCTAGACCTCTGTTTATTTACTGTGATCGGGGATAGGAAGCAGAGAGAGGAGGCTTTATTTTCCGGAGACGGATGGCCTGGGGGCCAACAGGCCTCGCGGAACGGCAGGCCCCTCTGTCGATGCTGAGATTAACGGCCCCCAATGACCAAGCGGACCATGAAGAAGCGATAGCTCGCCACCAACGTCGCTGTAAAATTGTTGCCGTCTCTGGTGTCGGTTTCCGCAGAACGGAGAGACGAACTATGAGATAGCTTTAGCTGTGAAACTGTGAGAAAACAGTTGAGACGAATCGCTCGCTTCAGACGTTATTCGCTCCCCCGTTGAATGAAGTGAAATTAGTTTCAGAGACCTTTAATTTAACTTTGATACAACACCTACGTCAAATCTAGTGCTTGGACGACAACGCTCGTCGTGGGTCAATTCCGTTTGACATGATGTGATGTACTCAGTTAATTCTAAGTTAAAAGCCGTAGACTCCACACACTCCAGCCCTGATAGCCATGCAAGTGGTAACTGACTCTAGATCCTAGCCTTGTCAGCCTCGCAATGCACACGGGTCGGCTGGTTTCCTCCATAAATATATAATTCAGTCACGTAAGATACTATTGCTCGTGAATACTATACGGACCGGACAGACACAGCTACCAGGCTGACTTTGCCTGCCGGTTAGAACCGATAGGACCCGTTAAGAATAGCCCGTTGCAAACTGCGTCACCTCTAGTCAAGCTGCAGTCATTGCTCAGATTACCACTCCTGTGCATGCTGGTACAGTGAGCAGTTGTTTTACCACTATGATAAACTGTGCTCTTATCACATGCTATCCAGCCTGTCGATGGAAACAGGCACGTCTTTCTGTTGTCACGCCCAGCCCATTTTCCTCACCTGAAAGATGCATGAGACCAATGTCTGAGTAGTTCGCTCCCATGCCTCAAGCGTAGGCTCTTGGGACACTCAAATTTGGGGTAAGGTCACCTCGCGTACATGAATGTTGGGTGCTAAGAACTGCTGAGAAATGAATGGCTAACCGCTCAGGCTCAAGCTCGCGCCACATCACTGAATAGCCTCTGGTTGCAGTGCAAGCTGCAATATAACATCATTGAGTTAAGCCACCACACGCATTGAAAAACAACGACTCCCTTGTCTGGGTCAATGACGTGAGTTACGCTCACCATACCGATGCTCCCGTCTCCGGCCTGAGCGCCGTCTCGCCTCCGGCAGTTTCCTCTCGGTGAAGAAATGGTTGCTGCGCAAGAAGCACCAGGTGGAGCTGGCGCGCAAGCGTGGCTGGAAGGGCTACTGGGTGTGCCTCAAGGGCACCACGCTGCTCTTCTACCCGTGCGAGTCGCGGGAGGGACGCAGTATCGAGCAGGCGCCCAAGCACCTAATCATCGTGGACGGCGCCATCATGCAGTCCATCCCGGAGCACCCCAAGCGGGAGTACATCTTCTGCCTGAGCACGGCCTTCGGAGACGCCTACCTCTTCCAGGTGGGTCACTGCCGGGCCTGGCAGGCGCGTCGCGTCCGCCGGGCCTGGCCGCCGTGCTGTTAACCCCGCGCCAACACGGCTGGGTTGGGGCCGTAAGCGGAGTGGTGCGCCAGTTATTGCCAGCCGTCACTGAGTGTTCGGAACACATTGCGAGGGCTGTAGGCAGAGTATGTCTTTACAACTGAGGCTGTACTCCGCTCTGGACTGACCTCAAACTGGCTGTATTGACCCGCACCTCGATCACGTCAAGGATGTGTTAACGGGAGCGGATGACCCGATGTTTGTTTTGCAATGTCACCATTTCCCAAAGGCTCTGGAGCAGGGAGTGGCAGGAAGGGACCCTTTTCCCCAACACTTTTAGGATGACAAGGCGTGGCGGCGGTGCCCCCCCCCCCCCTCCCCGCCGCCATCTTTCTTGGAGGCAATCTTTAAGTTTTCAGATACAAAATCGACCTTTTTCGTCATAAAGAGCGTAATAAATGGAAGTCTGCTGCGATTTTTGTTTATAAAATTGAGGACAACTTCCCGGGTTTTCTTTTGTTTCCTCATTTTTGCACTCATGTAAGTGTCACTTTTTGGGTGACAAGGAAACAAGATTCAAGGTTGGTGGGAGGTAACTGCTTCGCGGGTCCTCGTCAAACCTGCTACCTGCTATTTGTCATGTAATGGGTCTTGGCAGTTGAGCTTATGTGCTCGTCGTGGTTAGAAGATCAGTATCTCGCGAAAATCAAGGGAGACTTTTTAAATGATATGACATTACACGCTACAGCTACGGCTCCGTTCATCGGTAACAGGAGTAGGACCAGACACGATCAGAAGGTCACGTTACATTTGCATGGAAATTTTCCGGCCAATAAAAAGTACGCTGCGGTGCGATTAGAGATCTGAATATGAATCTGAATCTGTTACCAACTCGATACAGGAGCTCGTCATGGTGATTTGCCGGGAAATTCGTGCTTCTCAAAGCAGGTCTGGATTTCGATGATTAAATTTCCAGACCGTTAACGTCGTTAGTTTTGTGTGCGGCAGCTGTCTTACTGGGTGCTAAACTGGACGGCTGGATATGGTACGGAGGTATATGAAAAGCGCTCATTTTTGTCGTAGACCAGCGGATCCTACCATTGTGAAAAGTGGTTCGGAGGATATGTGGCAAAATGAATTAGAGCCGCTCGAAAAATCCAATAAAATCTAGGCATGGCAACTGATCCAAATCAGCGGCTATTTAATTATCGCGGTGTCGCGAAACCCCGGCAAAATCGCATGTAGGGGTCACTGGGATTGCCTGCAGTGAATGCTTCAAAGTAAAGGTGATGACTATAACACGCGTTCTAAATCTTGACCGCTCAAACAACATCGAATGACATGAATATCACTGTGTCGTTGGTGGTAGTTGAAAGGGGTAAAGGCAGTTATATCTTTAGACTCGATGGCATATGTTGTCCGGGGGCTAAAACATCACGAACGCTCCGTGCAATGCACTCCAATTACTCGGTTGTGTGCTGTATGAATGATCACGATCACTGGCCGTTGAAGAACCGATGGGATCATCGCCCTCGTCCGGCGTTTTAGTATGTGTACAACAATGTAGTCAGTTTATTATGCGGCCGTCTTCAGGCGGTGCAGGGAGAACTAGATCGCGCTCGGGTTTCAGGCATTACGCGTCATAGCCCGATTTTTCTCCTGAGGCCTGCTGGGATTCGAACCAGTGTCTTCTGATTACGAGTTTAGCTTTCTGACATTAAGCTGACTGAGCAGGGCTTTGTGCCACATTGTGTACGCACTGATACACCAGACGAACACAGCAGTCCGAACAATCGTTCCGTCGGTGACACTAATACCTCGCCTCAATCATTCTGAAAACAGCAGTAAGCAAGCATTGAGTTGCGTATTTTGACAACAATGAAGGAGTATGAAGTTCGCAAAAATTCAAACCGCGTTAAGAATGTGGCTTTAGCCATGCACATGTGATATGGGTGTCAAAGGTACGGAGATAGACTGAACACACCGCGCTGCGGTGCGTACAATGATGTCAGATTTCTGTGCATACAACTTTACGTGAATATATGACTGCTGTTGTCTGTGTCAAAGCCGCCAATAATGGAGTTCATGGAGCTCTTTGTAAAAATTATCGAATTTTCGTACCTGCTCAGTTAGACTCGGACCCAAACAATGTCGGGTGGCACCCGCAGTTTTGTTGTGGCGTAGCAATATTTTTTATTTTATGAAGGGCTTTTACTTGTAGAGACATCTGTACGCTGTGTGAAAGGCTGCCCCTGAAAAGTCGCGTTCTAAAAAACGCGTTTCTTAATCATGGACGTGGTTTGAAGAAAAGCATGCTGTCTTTTCCATAATAATTCGCATCTATTGTATATGTCAGAGTAGTTTATTCTCAGATGTCCGTTCGTGCGGGAGTTGAGGCTTGATCAAAACGGGGATCACAACCGAGGTAAAGCACATTTTGCATTGACAAATGTGCAAAAGGCTCGGTTGGAGTGTGCACACTGTTTCAGTCTTAAAAGAGACAATATGCCAACAAGCAGTTATTTTTCGTTGGGTGCACACATTCAGAGTTCATGAAACGGTACGCACTCTGAGCACTTCAGCGCCTCACGCAAGCGGCGAAAATCCGGTGCAGTTATGCTATCTGGTATTGATAGATTGCGTGTACTTGTAATATTCCTTTCCTAACCAGCAACACAACAGGCATGTAGGCTGACTCCAATACGCCATTCAAGTTTAGTGTTGAGTCATGAACCTACGCTTGCAAACTCGCATCTTGTTTGCTTCCTCGGCAACCACTATTAATGCTGGTCGCTGCTGATGCTGATGCCATCGTTGTTGCTGGTCGCTGCTGATGCTGATACCGCTGTTGTCGCCGGTTGCTGCTGATGCTGATGCTGCCGTTGTCGCTGGTTGCTGCTGATGCTGATGCTGCCGTTGCCGCTGGTCGCTGCTGATGCTGATGCCACCGTTGTCGCTGGTCGCTGCTGATGCTGATACCGTTCAAGCGAAGTTGACTTGAGACCCGCCCGCGTTGGCTGCGTTGATTTTACGCCCTTTGCGTCGGCCCGGGCCACGAAGTCATCAAAACTTTGATCCTGAAGTTGTGCCTCGCGTGCCCTGGGACCCAGCCCTGCGGCACGAAGGCCGAGACCACCGATGCGCTGCCGAGGAGCTGCTCTTAAGGCATCCGTTCGCCATCGCTATGCAACAAGCGGACATGTTTTTGCGTAAGGGTGTTTGGTTTTGTGTGGCATTTCTCAGAAATGGAAGTGCAGTGTCTCGTGCACAGTTAAGTTTTCATGCGTGTGTGAACACTGGTCCGATCCTCTCACATCCATTCGCTCCGGTCCTTCCCACACCGCTTACCTGTTGAGACTTACGTCTGCACGCAACAAAACACATGTGAGTTGGCGGGCTTTTCCATGTGTTTGAACTGTCAATACCGCTGAATGTCGCCAAAAGAATGCCGTGCCAATTAGGAACAGCTATGAATGCTTTACAACATTTTCCGCTATGAAATGCCGACTAGCTGCTTCAGTGGAGCATTGTCAAACGGTCTGCTGAATGCTGAGGAGCCTAAATCCCGCAGCTCTACTGCGTGCAAAGCAGATACACGTTTGAAATCGTCAGCGAAGTTGATGAAAAGTTGCCTTCGGTGGACTGCTGTCTTGAAATGAATTCCTCGACCTGACCTTTTCTCCTCATCTTTATTCCTTCTCGTATTCAAAAGCAAACCCCCCGGCTCCTTTGTATTTGCCACGTCGGTGATATTGACTACCCTTGGAAAAAGCGTCGGCTAGCCATTCACTCAAGCGCTATATTTATCCGAATCCGGGCCCGAAGGCGCCGCATTGAGAGCCCACTCCGACGGGATCTCTGCCTTCTGCACCGCTCTCTCCCTCTCCGCGGCTCTCTCTCTCTCTCCCCTGCCGCTCTTAGCTCGCCCTCCGCCGCGGGCAGCGGTGCGGGGCGAGTCGGCGGCAGGACAGAAACTGGAACACTGCCCGGTCATTTAATCAGCGTCTGATGTCACGGCCCGCTTGCCGCGCATGCTAATGGCGCCGGGTGGCGCCGCGCGCCCGAAGCCGAGACCGCCTCCGGGCGGGGCCCGAGTCAAGCTGTGGGGCTCGACCCAGAGTCCCGCTTCGTCATGGTGGTGCGCGCGTGTGCTGGTGCAACGTTTTATCCAACTTATGTACAATTTGAGGGGTGGTCCTGCTGATTGTTCGGGAAGAGAGACCGGTGACAGGCTCAGCTGATCTCTCAGCTTCACGCCAACGCGGATAACGTCACAAAGCATGACTACCATTTCCTTAACGATGATGAAACCCGCCGGTAAGCCTTCAGTGGGCCTAGAGCATTCACACCCGTCTATTGCACATTGTATCTTTTCTGCATCGCTTCTCCCCTGTGGCTGGGCTTCGTCATTAATCCTTGTTTCCGTACCCACAAGGATTTAGCAGCTCATACGTTATCCCTGCCCCAGTCGCCTGCCGTCGCCGTCCGTAATCTCGGCGGCCTCGCCTTTCACCCGCGCTGCCTCCTCCCCCGGCGGCTCTCGGTCTCGGTCGTCACGTCCCTCCCCGGTCATCAAACGCCCGGGGGAGGGACAAGATGGGGGGGGGGGGAGGCTTGGTCGGCGACCGTCACCGAGGCCGGTGCCAAGGCAGTGGCGGCCCGTCTGCCGGTCGAAGCTCCTCTCCGCTCTCGCCCACCGCAGTCGGAGCGAGCTTCGGCCGCCGCGGCGGAAGATGAGGCTCTGCGCGGGCCGGCCGCCGGCCCCAGGCGACGGTCCGTCGCGTGCGTCGCCGGCCGGCTCCAGACGACGGTCCGTCGCGTGCGTCGCCGGCCGGCTCCAGACGACGGTCCGTCGCGTGCGTCGCCGGCCGGCTCCAGGCGACGGTCCGTCGCGTGTGTCGCCGGCCGGCTCCAGACGACGCCCCGTCACAACGTCAGGGCTGTCTGGCAGGCTGTCGGCCAGCGGCGGACGGCGAGCTGATGACCCGTGAACTCGGAATTGATACCCGCAGGCGCCGTGTCAAGTCGAGCTGGAAAACTGGATCAACAGCATCCACAGCGCGTGCGCGGCGGCGTTCGCGCGGCACCGCGGCAAGACAGGCACCCTGCACTTGCTGCAGGAGGACATCTTCCGGCTGGAACGGTCCATCGAGTCGGTGAGCACTCGTCGTGACACTCACGGCACTCATGTCACTCACAGCTCGACGCGCTGGCACTGCACAAACAACGGGAGGAGACTCTCGGTGGCCGCTGAGTACCGGATCGGCGGTGTGGAAAGTGGCGTTATTTGTTGTCCTGGGGAGACGTTGCGCAGCTTCACCTCGTGCGCGTGCGCTCGCAGGACTCGAAGCTGAAGCACATGGCAGACCTGCAGCTGAGCGTGGTCTCGGAGCAGGAGAACAAGCAGGAGATCACCTCGCAGCTGGCCAGCTACGACGACAGCTTGGAGCGGCTGCACTGCGAGCAGTTCCGACTGCGCTGCTACATGGCCTCGCTGCAGGGCGGCGAGCTGCCCAACCCCAAGGTGGGTCTGGGTCTGACTCCCGGCAGGCGGCGACGACCCGATGGTGATGCGCCGCCCGCCCTGGCCGCTCGTGCCGCGTAATGGGACACGTCGTCTCGGCGCGGCGCGGCCATTCCAGGCGGGCAGCGACTGTCTCGGCTCGGAGAGGGACGTATGTCTACGCCATGTGATGGATCGTAACTTCATAACGCGTGACTTACAGCGACGACTAAGCGCTGCAAATAAGGAACTGTCCTGCCCAGCGGGATGGCCTCGTCACAACGAGGTGCTGCGGGCTTTTAAACTGCAATTTGCCACGTCAAAGGAAGCGTTATAATTTAGTTAGATTAAGTGTTCGATTAGAGTCCTGATGCAGTGTACTTTGTAGCAGTTAGAATATTACCGCACATACCGTGGCTGAACAGTCTATCACGCTCCCATTTCGTTCCTGTGCCGACACATGCTGCGCTAGCATACTATTTGCATCTTTCTAATAAGCGGCGTTGCAGTAATCCATAGACTCACCCATTTGCGAAACCGACCTTATTGACATCATCTTAAAGCCCATATCCCACCCGTCAGAGTCAAACGCCTTTCCCCAGGTGCTATCCCGGTCCACACGCCGATCTCGCATCTTTCAGCGGACGCAAGCGGTCGTCGTTACTGTTGACGTTGGGTCGCGCTGGTCCGTGCCGCTGGGTCGCGTTGGTCCGTGTCGCTGGGTCGCGCTGGTCCGTGTCGGTGGGTCCCACTGGTCCGTGTCGCTGGGTCGCGCTGGTCCGTGTCGCTGGGTCGCGCCGCTCCGTGTCGCTGGGTCGCGCTGGTCCGTTTCGCTGGGTCGCGCTGGTCAGCGGCACTAAGTCGCGCTGGTCCGTGTCGCTGGGTCGCGCTGGTCCGTGTCGCTGGGTCCCGCTGGTCCGTGTCGCTGGGTCGCGTCGGTCCGTGCCGCTGGGCCGCGCTGGTCCGCGTCGCTAAGTCGCGCTGGTCCGTACCGCTGGGTCGCGTTAGTCCGTGTCGCTGAGTCTCGCTGGTCCGTGCCTCTGGGTCGCGCTGGTCCGTGTCGCTGGGTCGCGCTGGTCCGTGTCGCTGGGTCGCGCTATTCCGTGTCACTGGGCCCGGCTGGAGTCGTCCGAGTGGGCGCCGTGCTGACCTGGCGCCGCGCCAGCCGAATGGATGGCCGGACGCCCCGGCGGGCAATAGCCGGCCAAGTGAACTATTGACCTAATGAACGGCGCAGCTTGTAGCATATTGCGGTGCTGCAAGGCGACACGCCGCAGCTGTGATGCTGGATGTTGCAGCCGACCGGGGCCGTGAAGCGAATATCTGGAGAGGGGGGGGGGGGGGGGGGGGGGGGCTCGCGCTGTGCGGCTGAGCCACGCGAATATGTGAATGTCAGCGGACCGACTGGACAGATCCCGTCAGACCCGCCCCTCCCCCGCCCTTCCCTCAGCACTGCTAGCTGATGGTCTGTAGTGGAAGATTCTAGTACGGCGCAGGATTTGAGGTGCGGGGTACAGGGCGCTGTATTACCGCCGTGGGAGACATAGGCACTGCGGTACCGAACAGTGTCATTTTCGTCGAACATCGTGTGATGGGGGAACCATTACGTGCAAGTCGCGCCGGGAGGACGATGTCGCAAACTCATGTGTCGGCAGCTAGAAATTGTATTCCGGTGTGATACGACCACTCACGGCCAACACGGCCGCTGCCATCGCTGGCGCTGCATAAAAGCACTCACCAAGATGCCCTCCGCATTCCCCCAACACACACACACACAAGCGAGAAAAGCTGCTGTGCCTGCGGCGCCAGGACCTGTCACCACTGCATGTCCTTCTCTTCGTCGCCAGGGTCTGCTGACTCACGTCTCTCGCACCACCAAAATGACGCTGAATCGGCTCGGCGTCTTCAACGTGTCGTCGTTCCACGCCTACATCTGCGCGCGCAGCCCGAGCCTGCTGAACAACCTGCTGGCCGGCCGCGGCGCCACCAAGCGGCGCGCGCCGATGCTGTCGCGCAGCGGCAGCGGGGGGCGGCAGCCGCACCTTCAACCAGGACGGCACCGAGGAGCCACAGCGCACGTACCGTGTCCGGGTGCCCGACAATCAGGTCAGTAGGGGGCCAGGGGCTGTGCACGCGTGTACGGGCCAGGGCGGGCACTCATCCTGGCTGTGCAGGCAGTTCAGAAGCGGGGAGTTCCGCTGTGCAGGTGACGGATCAGGAGCGGGGAGGTGCGCTGTCCTGGTGTGGGAGGCCAGGAGAGGAGAGGTGCACCGTCCAGTTGTGGGGTTAGGAGCAGGGAGGTACGTTGCTCTGGTGTGGGGTCGGCAGCAGGGAGGTGCGCTGCCCAGGTGTGGGTTCAGGAGCGGAGAGGTACGCTGCTCTGGTGTGGGGTCAGGAACGGGGAGGTGTGGGATCAGGAGCGGAGAGGTACGCTGCTCTGGTGTCGGGTCATGAACGGGGACGTGCACCAGACTTGGGGTCAGGAGCGGAGAGGTGCGCTGTCCAGGTATGGGGTCAGGAGCAGGGAGGGTGCGCTGTCCAGGCGTGGGATCAGGAGCGGGGAGGTGCGCCGTCCTAGTGTGGCGTCAGGAGCAGGGAGGTGCGCTGTCCGGGTGTGGGATCAGGAGCGGAAAGGTGCGCTGCTCTGGTGTCGGGTCAGGAGCGGGAAGGTGCTCTGCTCTGGTGTCGGGTCAGGGGCGGGGAGGTGCGCCGTCCTGGTGTCGGGTCAGGAGCGGAGGGGGGGGGGGGGGGGCGGGGGGGGGGGGGGGGGGGGGTACCGTACCAGATCAGAAGAATGCTTGGCATCAGTCCATCGTGCAGCTATGACGTGATCCATGACAGTTGACCGCACTGTGCCGCTGTTTGGTAAAAAGTTATTGCTTATTGCTAAAGCAAGCAGCGACAATAGGGAAGTTAGCATGCGGAGTACAGCTTGTGCGAGACCACACTACAGGTGGTGTATGCCCTACATGTACTTTGTGAGCACACTTTACATCTGACTCCAAAGGTAATGCAGTTGTGTTTGCTATTTCAGTTCGTTACTATTCATCTGCGGGACAATATGACGGTTGAAGATTTCCTGATCTCAGCCTCTCTGAAGAAGAACTTGAACCCGATGGAGCAGTTTGTGAGGGTGAAAAAACGACGCGACATGGAAAATACCAACTACTTTGTGCCACATCACTCAGATCTCATCGATAATTACGTAAGTACACCACTTAAATATCTAGGATCTTCCTGTAGCTGGTCGAATGTCGTAATCCAAAGCAAATGGTTTGTGAGTTTGTTAATGTTCTTCAATATTTTCTGGACAGTGCGGTATCCTCTGTAACATGTCCGTAGGCCACTCATGCCACTTGGGGAAACAATTATTATGCATCGTGTATCGGCGCTCCAGAACGCGCTCCAACATCTGTGCGTCACACCACTCACACTTCAATGAAAAACTTGTCTTCCACATCCCAAGCCCTTTTTGACCGTTGTTACAAAAAGTCGAATGCAAGTTATCCTCAATGCGTAACACAACTGTCACCCGGTCAGTTTTTTCACCGTCCGCCACTGAGGGTAAGCAGCATAGTTGACGACTCAGACGGAAGCTGCAAGGCCCACGATACTGCACCGAACAGCTCGCGTTCCCCGCGACATGAGGCCCCCAGCTGCGTACCTTGCCGCACGTCCTCTTACTGGCCAGTAGGCTCATCACGAGGAAAGCGTTCGACGAGAAGTGCAGATTCCTGTCGATCCATCTATACATCGCACAGCTTCCACGGGCGTCATGTGATGAACACTAATTAGTGTGCTGCGTGTCGACGCTTGTCGGACGGACAGGCGGAACCCACGGGCGGAGCGTCGCTAATGGCTGGCGCTGACTATTCCCCACCGCCCTTGTCTCCAGCTACAGACGCACGAGGTGTGGTGAGGTCTGCACCAAGTTGCTCTTCCAAGTGGAGCTGTCGCGCTCGGCCCTCGACCAGATGTGGGGCTTCAGCCGTGGAGGGCCGAGCTCATCGAGAACGTCGACCGACAGGATGAGCTCTGCTGCTACATTCTTCCCGCGTGGAGGAACCGCTCACGGGCAGCACACAACGGTACGGTACCGCCCACGGGTGGCACACACGGTAGGGTACCGCTCACCGGGCGTAACGCAACGGCATAGGACCACTCACGGGCGGTATCAACGGCACGGCCCACTCGAGGGAAGCACACAAACGGAACGGGACACTCACGGGCGGCACACAAACGGTACGGGGACCGGGTCACGGGTGATGAATAATCGTGTTAGCGAACACGTCCTGTTATCGATAACCTAAATGGATGGAACCACATTACTGAAAATCGAAGTGTGCACCATCAATTTCCCTCCCCCCCCCCCCCCCCCGACACTGCGCTGTCTATGAAATGACTGTCAGACTGGGTGCAGGCGACTAATCACTGTTCAAGGAGGTCATCTGCTGTTACGTGTCCGCATATTGTGTCAGAAAAGCGCAGGACATAATCTGTAATGCGTAAAAATCGTGCTGGAGCGAATGTGCGCCGATACAAACTCTTGCGGCCTGTTTCTGGCGCGGGGAAAGTGACCGGTTACAGTTGGATTGCATCATGTAAGGGCTGCCGATACAGACTCTTGTGCCCTGTTTCTGGTGCGGGGAAAGTGACCGGCTACAGTTGGATTGCATCATGTAAGGGCTGCCGATACAGACTCTTGTGCCCTGTTTCTGGAGTGGGGAAAGTGACCGGTTACAGTTGGATTGCATCATGTAAGGGCTGCCGATACAGACTCTTGTGCCCTGTTTCTGGTGCGGGGAAAGTGACCGGCTACAGTTGGATTGCATCATGTAAGGGCTGCCGATACAGACTCTTGTGCCCTGTTTCTGGTGCGGGGAAAGTGACCGGCTACAGTTGGATTGCATCATGTAAGGGCTGCCGATACAGACTCTTGTGCCCTGTTTCTGGTGCGGCAAAAGTGACCGGCTACAGTTGGATTGCATTATGTAAGGGCTGCCGATACAGACTCTTGTGCTCTGTTTTTGGTGCGGCAAAAGTGACCGGCTACATTTGGATGGCATCGTGTAAGGGTTCCATGGATCAAAGCAACGCGTTTGGAAACAACTGTATGCAGTACTAAACTTTTATGTGCACTTGGGCATGACTGTGCAGGTTGTACAGAGAGCGACGTTTTAGACAAGTGTAAAAGAACTTTTCCAGCTAAGAATTTTGAGCTATGAAACATCGACGTCAAGCTAAAATTTGTATTTGTAGCTTGTGTTCGAACCGACTGTGAATAGCCGACAGATTGACCCTGTCGTCCTCCGCGGTCGGTTTTATTAAAGACGGTTGCCATTGATTCCCGATTTGGGGGTGCACAGCCGGCTGCCCTTAGCAAGTGATAAATTGCAAGTCATTTAGCTTGTGTTATCAACAATGCGCTAAAACAGGAACCCATAACATAGCTCAACACGACTTACGAACCGTGGATCACGGGGTTCATGGGTACGATTCCTCCCTGTGTGGTGGTCCATGACGACCATTCATTCAGCCTGCGTCTAGGCTTCTTGCAGCGATAACTCTAAATCAAGCAAAGCCCACGCCACTAGTGGTTAATGTACTAAATACATCGTCCCAAACGGCTCAGTTTGCTTTACTGGGTCATAATTGCATCGAATGGTGGGGTGGAAGGTCTTCACTGGACTGGTGTCTCTCAATGGCCACTAGCCAGCGCCATTTTGGACAGACGTCCCCCGCAGGGGTGTGATCCGCGTCCAAAATCGTCCATAACACGCAAA